TGATCTTAGATTTGAAGAAGCAATATGCCATCAGACACTGGCTTGAGGCAACATGTGAGGCAGCCAAAGCAGAGGTGGAGATCTCACTTCGGGACTCACCTTTCCAGTTTGGTCCATGGGGTGAAACCCTTTCCATCATGAAGGTTCTCTTCTTGAACAGTACGGTGAACTTGCTTTGCCTACCAGATTCCTCCATGGTCCCAGCCAGCGGGGAGCCATCAGTGGCATTGGACTGGAGCTTGGTCATGACACCTGTGAGCCAGGAAATATTGTTTGCGAGGATTCGCTTGCACTATGAAAAAGCCACGGCCATCATTGAGTCTCCCAGCGACCGTCGCAAATACAGATTGTCAGAGGACGAACTCCTGAACCTTCGGAATGTTGTGACTCTCTACGCTTCCATTCGAGACTTCCTCAAGGCTCGCCTGCGGAACTTTGAGGAATATGACAAGCTCATGAGGACGACAAGCATCAAGGATGAAGACTTCCGGGACGTCATGGAATCTCGACCTTCAAGGTTTTCAATGTCAATGTTGGCCTCGGCCCAACGGGAAGCACTTGAAGATGCTCGGGCTCAGGAAGAGGGTGCCACCCTTGAAGCTGAGAAGGAACGCTTGAAGCTTCGAGACACCCGCTGGGAGTACTTCAAAGCGGCACTTGAGCGTGATCAGAAGGCCTTGAAGCATGTCAAAGAGGCACCCACGAAGGTAGTGGCTGCTCTGAAGCACAGAAAGGAGGTAGCATGGAGACTCTCCCAGGCAGAGCTTGGGGAGAAGGTGGTGAACTCGTACATGGAGAAGTTTTTGAAGTGTGACATTGTGATGAAGGTGGAGTTGGCTCAGCAGAAAATCAACGAGTACAGAGCTTTCGTTGTCACTTGGCAGATGATGAGGTTATGGTCCTGGTCTGTGTGGTGTCCATCGGTTTTCAAGATGCATTCGCCATCCGAATCCAATGAAATGCAAAATGAGCATTTGAAGCAGACCGATTATGAGCAGTCATGATCACCTTTTTGTGTGTTCGTTCTCTTTTTCCGGGGGGGCGGGCAAGCATCATCATCATCATTTCCAAGATTGGTGTGAGGCACAGTCTGCGGGCATCAGCGAGTCGGACATCTACTACCTCACACCGTGTGATATGAATGTGCCAGGAGCAAGGACTTCCGAGCGAGTAAATGAGCTGGCTTCTTGCGTGCAATTTGCCAATGACCTTTCACCGCTCAAGCACGGGGCGTTGCTGGAGCTGCCTGATGTCCCCCGCAAGAGTGCCAAGCGTGGCCTTTGGGACGAGGAGAAGGAAATCAGTGAAGCCCTTTGGGGGCTGAGGCAAGTCTGCGACTCCAGGTGGGTATGCCCATTTGAACTACACCCGTCGGCAGAGGCACACTCCAACAGAAGGCTGGGCCTTATCAAATTCCTGCTTGAGTCAGTGAATTGTTGTTTGAATTTCATTTATTGGACAGGGTATGCCTTCCAGACACTTATAACTTATAACCCATTGATCTGTCAGCCAATTTGCCTCGGCGTTTCACTGCTCACCCACCAGGCGCTTCAGCAGTGGTCGAATGATTTGTAACGTCGACGCTCAGAATGACAACCAATGGGTCAATGCATCTGAGCTGGGGGTGGCCGGAAGGCCTTTAGCATTGGAGTCTTTGGTTCTTCCACTCAGCAAGGACATCCTGGTCCCTGAAAGCTTGTCCGCGGAGGATGACTTGAAACAAGCTGAGCGCCAACGCCCGAGCACGGAGACATGCTCCGCGCAGAAGGGTGTGAAGAAGTGGATTGGATTGTTGAAAAGTGGCCTCACGATGCCTGGCACTTCCTTCTTGAAGGGGAAAACCGTTGTCTTGCTCAACATCACTGGGTACATTGAAGATGCGGGATGCGCTGTGCCTAGGATTGTTCAATACATTTTGAAGAGACTTTGATTTGACAGGTCCGTTCTTTCCTAAAACCTCAGCTCTACAATTTGTCTGAATCATTTGTCATGGTGGAAATGATTTGACAGAGGTTTAAGATCAATGCATTGAAAACCCTTGAAATCAGACTTTAGTTCAGAGTTGGCTTCCAAGGCCTTGGAATTGCGGCTGGAGAACTCGGAGCTCAAAGGTGGGTTCAAGACAGGCAACTTGTACTATCAAAGTGTTTGGTGGCTCAACAAAGACTCCTACGGCCATGCTCGTTTGCAACGAGAGGTCACGGACGCATGGGTGGCCCGACGGTTCTCGCATGGAGGACACCAATTCACGGCTCAGGCGCCAGAGCTGACAGCTGCGGAGATCAGTGCCATCCCCGGCGCAAGCCCTGATGCTCAAGACCACCTCAAGCTAGAGGTCATGGAACGGGGGTCAGGTCCTGGGAGTTATGCCATCAAGGTCGATGAGCATAAGTACTGGTCTATGCAGACTGGTGAGATCTTGCAGCAGTACCAGGACCTCCGGGAGCAGAATGCAAACCTCATGACTCAGCTCTTTGGTCAAGCTCCATCCGCTTCGACTTCGGCTGCCTCACGAGAGGAAGATGAGGTGGCCACGGTGGAACCAGCTACCAGCGGCGAGGACTCAGAGTTTGACTCCATCGCCAAGTTGGATGAGGCCATTGGCATCGAGGCCAAGTGCAACAGCGAGATTGCAAACATTGAGCTTGTGATGGGCAAGAACAAGTCAGTGTGGCTGGTGGCTTCACAAGACAAGGTTGTCGCCAAACATCAGCTCCTTGGAGGATTTGGGACAGGGCAGTGGGTGGCAGAGACCGACTGTTCAGAAGGCATCGCCTTCAAGATGGAAGAGGGCGACCAAACGATGGTCCAAATCGATGAATCCAGTTTCTCATCAGCGGACGCCCAAGGCTTTTCCACTCAGACTCTTTACAAAATGCTAGTGAGGAGCGAACGGGAGAAGGGGGTGGTCGAACACAAGCTGTCTTTTCTGAACATCAAGCGCAAAGCTGATTCTGCCTTGGAGCTGGGAAGCGATGGCTTTGAGGTGGGGGCCAAATGTGCTATGAAATTTCGTTGCATGCGTGACCCAAGACAGGTGGGTTCTGGGCAAGAGGAGCGCATTACAGCGAAGAACTTTTTCTCAAAGGTGTCCAATGTGAAGTTCAACAATTATGCCTTGATGATTTTCAGATTCGGATTCGAGCGTGTTGGTGCAACATGGAAGGTTCAACGGCCATACACTGTGGCCAAGCGGGGCATCACTTTGAAGAAGGGCAAGCCTTTCAAGATCACCCAAGACTGAGAAAGTGACACCTGGCCTAGGTTTCCTGACGCCGAATGAAACAGTTCGGCCAAGTTTTGATTGTCATGAGTGCCATCCATTGGCGATATTGTTTTTCCCATCCAACAATTGTTTCAGGGACTTGCCTCCTAGTTGGTTACTCAATGCCCACTTCAATGCCCTTCCAAGATAAAGCCACGATACTTTCCAAAAGCCATGGATGATGGGGTTTGACTGGACCGGGGTCGGTTGTGCATAGCTGTGCCTGCTGGGAAGGAAATACGTCTAATGCTGAGTTCGCGATTTTTCAACTTTTTGTGTTCCCAATGTTTCCCAGAAGGAGTTTGTTTCAGGCAGTCAGAGGCACACGAAGCCCAGCTCTTAGCCGTACGAGATTCGTACAAAGGGGATGTTGAATGCCATGACTGAAGGACCAACTGGGTTCAGTTGTTGGCGTCTCAAAGCCAAGAAGCCTCGAACAAGCCGATGATTGTTCAAAGCCTGTTGTTCAAAGATTTTTTGTGGAAGCCGCCTGTTCTTCATCCAAAGCGTTGCCTATTGTCCAAAGCCATTTTTGAACGGTTATATAGCCTCAATTTGTGGGAGTTGCACCTGCTGCCATGCCCATTCAGTATGAGGCTGTGAAGCAGCTGTGGGATCTGATGTTAGGCTTGCACGGCATTGTCGAGCTCGCGCACTTTGTTGAGTTCGAGTTTGAAAACATCCGTGAGGTCTTCATTAAGACCAAAGGAGTTTGGAACGAAGATGATTTCCAGGTGGCCATGGAGATGGCTCAGCTGCTCACAATTTTGTTCAACATGACATTCCAGTGCCAAATGTCCGGAGAGTCCAGCATTACCAGTCTGACGACCTTTGTGGAGATGAATGGTGTCGCAGGCGCATTCGTTCCCAGCGAACCACAGCCTTTGAGGAAAGAATTGCGGACACTCTTCAATGAAAATTGCCGGGAAATCCTCAAGAAAGAGATCAAGACAGGACGTGGTGATTTGAACAAATACTTCATGAGCTGGGAGAGGCTGGTGCCAATGGATTTGGCTATGACATTCAAAGCCGCAAACAAACTGCTGGCGCAGATGGAATCTGCCTTGTCTTGAACATATTATTTATGGTTCACGGGACAGTGGATGGGTGTTTTGGGAGAAAAAAGAACTCACATTTGGTATATAGCCATACTGGGCCATACTGTTACTAGATCTGACTTGCTTGTTGTTTGCGAAATGCCAATGCACCAGATGATCTGAGTACGAGATGAACGACACGACTGCACAACGACACGGAGAGCCTCCGTCGTCACGACGGACCAACAGTTCATCACAACGTCGGATCCCATGAACATGCGCACGTCATCTGTCGGTGTTTTGGAAACAAAACTTGAATCAATCAATCGTTCTTCGAATCCTCGGCTTTGTGGTTGAGCTTTGGTTCAGCCTTTTGGTGACGCGAGGCACGATGCCGAGGTTGGGCCGGGCCCCGAAAGCGTTGGAGTACATCTTCTCCGCGAAGTAAATCTTAGGCTTTTAGAGAATTCACATCTAGTAGAAGCAAACCTGGGTAGATGACAGGGAACATGTTGCAACAAATCCACCAGTCCCCAACTGTTGAATATATATGATTTGCATGAAAGTCAAAGGCTGACCAAATTGATATGGTCAAAGGCTGACGTTCCTCCCCCGGTTTTCTGATGTTTTCTTGGACTCTTCGGTCCGGTCACCCGGTCGGTCCGGTCACCCGAACAGGAGCTGGTCTGGACGTCGGCCTCCTTGGACCCCTTTCGGCTGAAGTGATTCTCTTCGATGGAGTGCATCCGGGTGTTGTGCCGGCTGGACTTGTGCAAGACGCGCGCGGTCTGCGCCTGGACATGTGAGGTTGGTCCGGCGGCTTTGTGCCGGACTGAGCTTTCAAAAAGTGCTTAGCTTTAGGCTTTAGGACCTGACCGGAGGACGTACATGATGGTGATAGGATGTGATGAGAGACCAGCTCTCCATCACAAGCCACAGCCTCACATGCACTAATTAACTTTGCACTTATATATTATATATCGTTCTGTTCGATTGGCCTAGATCCCAAAAAACAAATCTTCTGAAGTTTGCAAGGGATGGCAGGATATCCAAAGGGCCTGGTGTTGTATGAGACTACATCATACTATAGTCATCTAGCTTTGGACCTGTTATGCAAACATGATGCGTGCAAGGACATACAACATCATTGACATGCTTCTCGGTTCTCTTGCATGACCTTCCGTCTAGACTTGGAAGATCAAAAGGTGTTTTTTGGAGGCCCACAAGAATCATCCACATGGCACTGCTTAAAATACGTCGTCGAAGACATGGTTTGGACCAATAATTACATGGGGCTCTCTCTATTTTTGTTAACTAGTTAACGCTAGTGAGGGCCAGCCTGATTTCAAAACAACTGTGAAACGCACGCTGTGCATTTGGCGGGAAACGGTTCATGTTCACTCGAAACGACTTCATGCCTTCCAGAGGGAGGGCTCAAGCTTGCCGAAAGGTATGCGGCCGCGACGACTCGTTTCGTCCCCAATTCGTTTGTGGTGTTCTATCACCTTCGCAATCCAGTGGGCTTCGTCTACTACTGGATTCTTCGCATTGGTAGCGGAGCCCAAACCCGATTTGGGGGAGGGCTCCAGCTGCGCGCTTCGCATCTCCGAGCAGAAGGCTAGGGACAAGGTCTTTGGTGGCCACTCGTTGCCGGTTTCTTTTGGATCCTGTTGGTGGAGCACCTGGTTGAAGACCCTGAGGGGAGGATCCTTGTGGCACTCACCGCCTCGGTGGATGTCGCATCAAAGAAGGCAACAGCAGAAGAAGCCACAGGCCGCTCAACCGGCCTCAAGCTCGATGACTACACCCAAGGAGGATTCCGGTTACCTCGACCTCAGAGACTCCTACGTGCCGCTCTTCACAGGCCAACCTGCGGATTACCGGGAATGGCGTCAACGCATCCAGATCTATCACCGCAAAATGTCACTCTCAAAGCGTGCGAACGAGAGTGTGCTGAACATCGTTGGCTCCTTCCGCGGAGTGGTTTGGCGGCTCTTTGAAGATTGGAGCCTCGAGAAGTTCGAGCAGGATGACTCCTTCGAGAAGGTCTTGGAGGTCTTGGATGGCAATTTCGCCTATGACCAAAGGGTCCAACTGCCCAATGATTTCGAGAATTACTTCAACTTGCTGCAGAGAGCACCCGGGCAGACCCTCCTGGCCTTCGTGAACGAGCATGAAGAAGCATACCGACGGTTGCTTCAACATAAAGTAGCACTTCCCGACAGCGTTCAAGGCTGGCATCTTCTCCGCCGCTGTGCTCTTTCCAAGGAGCAAAGGCAGCTCCTCATGCTGAAGGCTCCAACCCTAGAGAAACAGCAGGTGATCGAGGCTCTCTATTTGATCCTCGGTCAGGACTACAAAGCTGGTGGCTGGAACCATGAGAGGAACAAGCGATTCCAACGCTGGCCAAACCGGGCCTATGCTGCTCAAGATGATTGGGACGAGGATCCTGAGGATCAATGGGCTGAAGAGGAGACGGGCTACTATGAAGATGATGAGTGGGGGCACGGAGACTCCTACGAGGACGACCCCACCTTCGACGACGAAGCAGGCTACTTCGGCGATGAGCCATGGCCCGAGAGTTCCAATGAAACTGCAAGCCCAGAGCAGCTTGCCGATGAGTTTGACTCGGCTTATGCCAGCTACACGGATGCTCGAAAGCGCTTCAACGACCTGAAGATGTCTCGTGGTTTCTTACCGGTTGTGGCGCTGGCCGACCAACAGACTCCCATGCCGACTGGTGCCACGGCCTCAGCTTCTACCAGCAGTCCAACGTCCTGGCAACGAAAAGGAAAAGGAAAGGGCGGAAAGTCAAAGGGGAAGAACAAGAGCAACACCATCCGCTATCCTCCATCCACCGGAGGCAAGAGTGATCCGAAGGGTCGTGCACGCGCCAACATGACGTGCCTACGTTGTGGTCAACAGGGACACTGGGCGGCCAATTGCCCACAGAACTCTTCACCGAAGTCCAGTGGCACCAAACGACCAGCTCCCACCGAAGGCATGGCCCTCCTGTCGATGTCCGAGGATGCAATGATCATCTTTCAGGATCACACCGGAGCTGAACGGCCAGAGTGCGTGATGCTAGACCCTGGTGCCTCGGCTTTTCTTTCTGGCTATGGACCATTCCGGAGGTACCTTCAACACCTTCGTCAAGACTGTGGCTTCCCGCTCGACCAGATCATGCTGACAAAAGGGAAGCGACGCTTCCAGTTTGGGGGCGATGCAGCTTCTTGGTCCACATGGTCGGTACACCTTCCGGTGTTCTTGGACGGGCGCTACGGCACCATTCAGATGTTCCTATTGCCGGGAAACACTCCCATGCTCTGCGGACGCCCCATCATCGAGGCTTTGGGCATGACCATGGACTTTGCCATGCGTCGCATCTGCATTGGGTCCTCTGGCTGGCAGGAGGCTACTCTCGGCCGACAAGGTGAATACTTGTTGTCATTGACGGCTGATCACGACTTCATACAGTACGAACCCCAGAACCCCGACTTCAGCCTCAAGACGGCCGACGCCGACATGGAGCAGGTGGATGGCTTCCACCTCACTGATTTTGAGCAGGCGGAACATGGTTTTGCCGCCCTGTCCACTTTGAAGGACGAGGAGATCAAGGAGGAACAGTTGTCCAACACCTTGCGACAGCATTCACTCCAAACAATGGACATACAGCTTCGAACTCACCTCAATGACATTTCCGCTTACCTGACCCGACAACTACATGGTCGAGAAGGAGATCAGAAGAGGGTCTTGTGGGAAGTGTACTGCGGCTCTGCACGCACTTCGCAAGTGGCAGAATCCTTGGGCATGTCAGTGAGACGTTTCGGTCTCGACACCGGCTGGAACTTCGAACTCCTTGCACATCAAGCTGAGTTTCTCCGTCTTCAAGAAGAGGAACTCCCAGATGAGGTGCTGCTGGCACCCGAATGTAAGCTTTGGAGCCGGATGCAAACACTGGCTCGTCGAACTGTTCATCAACAAGAAGCACTGATCGCCGCCAGACAGCACCATCATGACCGACACTTGGTCTTTGTTCGCAAGGTCTACATGAACCAGGTCTCTGGAGGACGTCATGGACACATTGAACAGCCGAAACATGCTCTCTCCTGGTCGACCCGAGCTCTTCGTGATCTACCAGGCTACAGGGCTGACTTTGATCAATGTCGCTATGGAGCAACCTGCTTGGACGAAGACTCACAATGGCGCCCGGTGAAGAAAAGCACGACACTTCTAACGACCAAGAAGGCCATGCAGAATGCCATGACGCTCACCTGCCGAGGAGACCATGACCACTGTGCCCTTGAAGGGAGCGCATCGGGCTACGGACCTCGAACTCGCTATTTGGAGGACTACCAACCAGCATTGGCTTCCACTTTGGCATCTGCCATTCTTCTTGACGAACCACCTCAATTCTGGGAAGCCGGCTATGCCTCCAATGAGCAACGGACCGTGACCTCCAATCTGGTCAAGCTGCGATCCGACACTCGGCAACAGGCGATTCGCATCGTGCAGAAGCTACACCGCAATTTGGGACACCCTTCAACCAAAGAGCTCACCGAACTGCTGCAGACGCGGGGAGCATCCGAAGAAGTCCTGAAGGCGGCCCAATCCTATGTGTGTGCGGCATGTGCCAAGTACAAGAAGCCTGCCGAGGCCTCTCCAGCTTCGTTGCCACAGTCGACGACCTTCAACCAGCAGCTTCAGGCCGACATCTTCTGGCTTCGCCGTGGCACCATCAAGTATGCCATCTTGAGTGTGGTTGACACTGCCACCAGGTACACGGCCGCCCGACTGGTCAACTCCGAGCAGTCCACTGAGCTGATCAAGGCCCTTGAACGAGGTTGGATTGCCCACTTTGGGCCCCCACAGCAACAGGTCACTGATGAAGGACGTGCCTGGCTTGGGCATGACTTTGAGAACTGGACAAGCGTCCATGGGGTGGAACACATTGTGGCACCAGGTGAGGCTCATGAACGCCTGGCCATCGTTGAGAGGCGACACGCCGTGTTGCGCAAAGCCGTCGAGATCTACCTCGATGATCTCAAGCTTGACCATGCCGACGGCATTCGTGAGGCACTGACCTATTGCATTCCTCAGCTGAACAGTAGTCCAAGTGTGGCTGGCTTCTCCCCATCGCAATGGGTGCTGGGCTATCAGCCTGAACTGGCCGGCAGCTTGCTATCCACCTCCAACTTCAGGGCTTCCCATGTTGGTGGACATCCGCGCTTTGAAGAGACACTCAGCAAGCGGGCCGCAGCTCAAAAGGCGCTGATCGACGCCGATGCTGACCGTCGCCTTCGACGTGCTCTTGGGGCTAAGTATAAGGGCCTGAACTCAGAGTACCAGATGGGTCAACAAGTGTGGTTCTGGCGTGGCGCCAAACAGCCCGATTTGGTCAAGATCAGGTGGCTTGGTCCAGCTCACATCGTCATGAAGGAGTATAACTTGCTGGTGCTCAGCTGGGAGCAAAAGAGCAAAGGGATATAGAGAACATGAATGGTGAAAAACATCAACTGCGCTGCAACAAAAAAGGATACATACATGGAGCTTGAAAGTTCCCAACGCCTAAGTTTAAGCGCTGAACCAGTACCGTGCCTGGAGATGAATCACTATATCATATCTCTGGTGTGGGGGTGAGGAATAGACCAAATTTATTTTTTCACCATAAGTTTTAAGCATTGAAAGCCCATGTTCTTGAGGATCTTTGGAAAGTTCCCAATGCCTAAGTTTAAGCGCTGAACAAGTACCATGCCTGGAGTATCTAGCAGCATCACTATATGATATCTCTGGT